TATATCTATAATATAATATATATATAATATATAATATTATATATATAATATATAATATATATAGAAGGACCCAATAATCACTATTCATGCTGTAGTATTCCAAATCCCAAAATATTATATAATATTATAATAATATATGTTATTAAAATATTATATAATATTATAATATATAATTTATAGTATTTCAAATCCCAATATATTGATGAAACAAACAAAATATTACAAATTTTGGTATTCCAAATCTCAAAATATTGATGAAACAAACAAAATTTTAGAGATCCCAAAACATGTAAAAAATTTTATGGATTTCAAATTCTATGGTGAAATCCATATCCATAAATTTTGGGATGCAAAACAAACACCCCCTTAACATATTTTAAGTAAGGGCCTGTTCGTTTGTTTTCTAAAAACCAAGAAATGGAAATGAAATGGTGAAAATCTCAAAACTCATCATTTCCTCCATTTCCATCCCTAAAACTCACCCACAACATCCAATAAAATATTATTTCCATCCAACAACTCATCCACATCATCTAATAAAATATGATTTTCATCTAACCACTCATCCATCACATCTAATAAAATATTATTTTCATCTAACAACTCATCCATCACATCTAATAAAATATTATTTTCATCCAAACATCACTCAACTCATCTCTTCTCATCATTTCAAATCACTCACATCATCCAATAAAATATTATAACAATTCACCTCATCTCATTAACATTTCATTTCTTCATTTTCATCCCAAAAAGTTATGAAAACACTTTTCTTAATCTTTCTTCACATCACCCAATAATACAATGACAACTCATCTTATCTCATTTCATTTCTTATTTTTAAGAATGAACCGAACAAAAGAAAACAAGAAACTACAGGAAATATGTTTCTTATAATTCATTTCCTTATTTTTTTTCGCCAACCGAACACTCCAAAACTAGTTTTCTTAAAAAATCACAAACATCATCCAATAATAAGGTGACAACTAACATCATTTCAATTTCATATCTTTGATTTCCTTCTTTTTTAGCCAACCAAACACTCCGAAAACAATTCTTCATTTTAATAGTTTTCCATTTCTTTGATTTCCCTCTTTTTTTTAGGCAAACGAACAGGCCCTAAGTACCCAAATGACTTGAGTTGTCTCTGATCACTAGAAACATCCGACCCGTTTCAACCCGAAAACATAAACGCCAGAGGCCGCGATCCGTGGCGAAGGTGATTTGATCCTCTGCGGCCGCACCGCACCCCCAGCTCTCATCTTCCCCCCCACTAAAAAAATCCCCAGCAGGCAGGAAACCATGATCGCAGCAGTCTCGAGGAAAATTTCAAAAAAACCCATCCCCCTCCCCCTCGCAAGATCGGCCTCCTCCTCCTCGTCGAAAAAACCCAAACCCCTGACCCCAAAATCAATCTCCACCTACCTATCCTCCGCCCTCTCGCTCCCCAAGCCCGACGCCGACTCCATCTCCTTTGACATCCTTGAGTTCACCTTGGACTGCACCCTTGTGTGAAACCAGAGGCATCATAGCTTCCTCCGCATCCGACCCTCCCTCCTCCTCTCCTCCGTCAACTCCACCCTCTCCCCCAAGCTCTTCATCATTCTCTCCTTGCTCCCCTAGGGCTCAACTCCCAGGTTGGTGGCGACGCTCGTCTTGGCCTCCGCCTCGGCGTTTGGGTACTCGGCCTCTCGGCTCGAGAGCCTGCTTTCGGTGCTGAGGTCGTTGCTTCTTGGTGACGACCACAAGGTTGTGTCTGCTATCTGGCGGTACCCTCGCCTGCTCACCAACGACCCCGACAAGTAAGGCCGGAGGCAAATGTGTTTTTTTTTCTCCCTTTTTTCGAGGCGAAGTGCATTTATCTATCTATTGAAATATCGATAGTTATTCTATCAACTTTCATTCCTATTGTCAAAAGATAAATTTATAAGGCTGAAGTGCAGAATATAAATGAATAGTTAGGAATCTAACAAATGAAGTTTATATCTGGTTTAAGTTTATTTGTCTATGAATGCAAGACGAAAAATTATTTGTTTTTACGGTTAAATGAACCAACAAATCAAATATAACTGAATAACTAGACGAAACAATTAACAAACTATTTGCTAATGTTTTGGTTCGCTTCCTCTTCTCCCACTGCAGCGACCCCTTCGCCCGGCAATGCCGACTTCCTCCGTTCCCGTTGGTCTATCTGACCCCACCCGCCCTCGCCAAATTCATCGACCGCCTCCCCCTCGTCCTCTTCATCAGCCACCAGCGCCGCCTCCGCGTTTGACGTCGGTCTGGCGAGGAATATCGACATCAACATCTCCGACGATGAGACCGCTGACGAGCCTGCCAATGCCGTCAACCTCGCCGCCGCCCTCACCGCAGAAGGGTTCAGCTCGCGGATCGCGACCTTGAAAAAATTCGGGTTTGAGAAGGAGGAGATGATGTTGTTGTTTCGGAGGTGCCCGAGCTTTATGAGGTTGAAGGAGGATTACATGATGAGGAAATTGGAGTTCTTTAGGGATAAGGTGGGTGTTGGGCCGCGGGAAATGTTGCGCAATGCTTGGGTTTTGATGCTGAGCCTTGAAACAAGGTTGATGCCGAGGTATGAGTTGATGAAGGGGTTGAAGGAGAGAGGGTTGGATTTGCCGGGGGGGAGCATGTGTAAAGCTTTTGCGATGAATCATCTGAAGTTTGAGAATTCGTTTGTCAACAGGTTTGAGGATGGAGAGGGGTCGGATCTTGTTAAGGGATATCGTAGGAGTTTGGCAGCGGTGAAGAAGGTAGAAACGAGTTCTGAATCGAGTTCTTGAGTGATTGGATTGAATCTTAAATTTTGGTGAAAAATGGTAATTATTATGCCTAGCTTGAGTTATTGATGGTTTTATGCTTTGTGTTACTCGAGAGTCTAACAACTGCATTGTAGGGTTCTTGGTAATAATCTGATGTATTTTAGCTTGCTGTGAGATCAATGTTTAAATATTTGATGGAAGGATTTGTGGTGATTATTATATAAACCATCTGAAACTGTACCGTGTCTTGTGTTCAATTGTGGAGCATGTTCTCTTGATTTCGGTAAAACGGTCCGAAATCGATGAGAATCATATTAGAACCTCCCAACTGTCTGGATCACCCGTAATGCTCCCAATTGTTCGGATCGTCCTTAATGGGTTGATTCCCTTGGTTTTGTATCTTAGGGATCTTCACAAATCGGCTAATGGAAGCACAGATTGATGATTGTTCGTGACCTTTGTGGTGTGCTTTTACTTGTATGCGCTCTCATTTCTCGAACTGAAATTTGGCGGATGAGCAGCGGCAAATTTTAAATCTTTTAATCTATTATGCTGAAGGCGAGATCTTCATCTCCAAGTGAATGCTCAAATGCTGGATTGCCCACTGAAAACAGATATTTAAAAAGTCGACGGCAAACGACATCAACATCGCTATAACCACATCAAGGCGACCACCAACAAAAGCCATTTACCAGAGACAACAACAGGAAGAGTTCAATGACATAAAATCATAAGATCAGGTCCAGCTACAATAAGCAGAGAGTAATCCATCACAATTGCAACATCAGCCTAAAATCATTATATGGCTTCTAGGCCTTTGGCTATATCAGCCTTCAAATCATCGAAGTCCTCCACTCCAAAACTGAACCTGATCAGGTTTTCACCGATGCCATACTTGTCTCTATCCAAATTGCTATCCCTGTTACATTCAATTAAAAAAAACCAAACCACAGCCGTTAAGAGACCTTGATTTCTTAGGCTCTTTATCTAATTTGATCCACATTGTACTCTGAAAGAGGAGGGGGGGGGGGGGGGGGGGGGTATAAAATACAGCAACTCGAGGAAGGAGGCATTACCAGTAAGACATAATAGCCGGTGGTTCCACTATACTCTCACAACCTCCAAAAGAAGGGGCGAGATATGGTATTTTCAAAGAATCAATGAACTTTACCGTCTCCAACAAGCCTCCAGCTAGCTGCAAAGTTTGGAATATGAACACTGAACAATATTGAAATAGTAACCTAATACCACACAATCTGTCGATAAATATATGTAAAATACGAACAAATGCATCCAACAATACACGCTAAAGGACCTCAGTGACAAATAACAAAAATAATGATTACATAGGAATGTTACTGACCTCAAAACTGACCACACCACCAAAACCAGTCATTTGCTGCTTGGCAATATGATGCTCTGGATGACTTGGCAGTCCTGGATAGTATACACGTAAAATCTAGCAAATACAACAGCATAAAAGTCCATAAGAGAAAGTCAATAACAGTGATCTGAATGCAAGGATATTACATATTGTCGGCCAGTGTTGCTCTATTCACCTCAAATCTTCTAGTCAATTATGAAGCAATCATCATAATTTATCATATTATTGTATAAACCTTTTACCATCAAATGGGATTTATAGTAAAAGGCTGCATATGATATTTTAGAAACTCAAAACTGATGTCAATTCTCTTTTAAACTAGCGCCAAATTCATATCTGAAGGAACTATAGACATGAGAGGGATTGCCATGACTCTAAAGGTTGGCATCCTACATATTCTCCTAAGTTGGAAGAAAAGTATAGCAAATAAGAAAAAAAAAATGACAGACTGCTATGGGAATTACATTCCAGTTCTCAGATGCAGATAAAGTCAACAGCTGATAGAACAAACATCCCTAATTTGTATACAAGTACTAAGAAATCTGGAGTGGTTCCTCTAATGATTTTTTTAGCTTGCTTGCAGTATGAAACCAGCTGGGAGGAGTCAACCCGTGTCCTCTGAATATTTTTCCCCAACTATGAAGATGAAAATTTTGGCTGTTATTATTTTCCAGCCTTAAGTACTAGATTGTTGAGGTATATACGATGACAATGCTTTCTTATCAGAACACCTTTCTTTGAAGAGAAACAGAGAGTACCTTGGGATGTTCCTCTAAAAACTGGGCCATCCTCAATGCTATACTATTCTGATACTGTACACGAAGGTGCATCGTCTTCATACCTCGGGAGATCATATATGCAGCATTCTGTAAAGTTGATTTTGTTAATCATACTGTCGAAGTGATAATTAAATCAAAACACAAGAAATTTTGGCTTGCATCACTATGAAAGTCACTGTCGAAACTATCTAGCAACAAAAAAATGCATACCTATAGGATTACAACACCAACAATAACACAATCTAGTATTCTTGTTATAAGATTTTGCCAATTAACTTATCAATAATGTAAAGCTGATAACAAGACAATACAGAGACTAGAGGAAATTCAGCTATTTTTAAGGCATGCAATAGGCATTGATATTTGGTAGACACTACTGAAATAGTCAAGAGATAATGTGCATACTTACAGGATCAAGAACACCACCAATAATATGATGATACTGGCGAACTTTGGAAACCAATTCCTCTGAACCACTGACACAACCGGCAATCACCTGGGAAGACAATTGAATCCATCTCAATTGAAAAGAAAGAGTAAATCAAGCAGCTTCATTTGATCATGAAAACACAGCACCGTATTTACACCAAGTAAAAATGGAAAAATTATCTCACATCATTGTGACCGGCAATAAACTTTGTTGCAGAATGAATGACTAGGTCAGCTCCCAAAGTTAAGGGCTTTTGATTGACAGGTGAGGCAAATGTGCTATCTATGCAAACCAGAGATCCTTTGCTGTGGCAAAGCTCTGAAACCAACCTGATATCAATGCATCGGAGGAATGGATTAGTTGGGGACTCCGTAAAGAAAAGAGACACCTGAGAAAAAATAATGTGTGAGTCATAGAACAACCACAAAACTAAAAGAAGATTACACGTAAAGAAACGGATCAGCAAAGCAACAATTTGCACATACTTCATTTTCGCACAGTGCTCTTTCAAGAGAGCCCATATCAGCAGGAGCAATAACGGTAGCCTGCAATTTGAAGATAGTGAAATATGAGTACGTAAGGGAAGACGATCAGGTACAAAGGACAAAGACCAGAAAACTTTTGATCACTATTTATATTTTAAAACGACTGGAGTTTGCTGAAGTATTACATAATTGACATGCTCATGGAATCACAAACACATGTACTGTCAATCTCACGAAGGAGAATTATAAGTGAAAAATGCACAGATACGATAATGAGTTGTCCAAAACATAAAGAATCCTGGCATGGTGGTATATGACCTGATTACAAAATAAGATTCTATGTACTGACCTGATTACAAAATAAGATTCCATGTACTAGTTCATGATCTAAAGCATATACCATTTCTTGCTCCGGATTAGTATTTAATCATAAGGTTGAAAACTGGTTAACAAGGAACAGTAATAACCTATTAAACTGGGTCAAAAGGAAATTGTCAACCTTCTTGCAAAAAAGTTACTAGTCCATAGTTGGGCAATCGCATCAGTTTAGAATATTCATGTTTGTAGTGTTTCGGAAAGTAAAAGGCATTTAGTCAAACAAATAAATACCAGGTCAATATTACCAGCAGGAAACTATAATTTCAAAATATTAGTTAAGTAGTCGAAAGTGATGGAGCATAGTGGTCTCATAAAGCTGCTAGAGAAATTTTACAAATACAGCAATGAACAGTAGATGTTGCATTGTTTTCTTATTAGGATCATATTTATACATCATTATGAAAAAAATTTAGTGAAATCACAATAGGACTTCAGAGTGACCATGTAATTCTGATACCTGAATATTAATGAGAAAACAAGTAAAAGCTAGTTTCTAAATATTAAGTTCAATGTACTGGCTTACTAATATCATGAAATTCGATGACCTATGAGCAAACAGCATTAACTGATATCACTTGCTATGGTAAACAATTAACAGCTAATCCAAATTTATGAGCTAAGATTGAAAGTCAAGAAGCAAAGAAAATCACCTTAATCCCCTTCTTTGGAAGCTCATTCTCAATGAACATCCTTGTCTTCCTATAGCAATCAGTGGTCGTAACGATATGGCCACCTGCAGGAACCAAGGCCGAGAGCACCGCACAACTGGCATACATGCCAGAGGACACAAACAAAGTAGTTTCCGCCCTCTCCAGTTCACTGCAATTAGAATCCAACAAGATGATTACTATCAAGAATCAGTTAAAAACAAGAACGATACAAATAAACACACACCTCATCTTCCTCTCCAATACCTCGGTAGTTGGGTTCCCATATCGCCCATACTCAAAGCTTGTATGCCTACCCTCCTGATTAGGTACGGAGTTTAGCCAAACAATTCCCATATATCACAGAAAAAAATGAAGTCAAAGGTGAAAAAATGATTTCATACCTTGAAATCAATCAGCTCATCGCAGTTCTTAAACCAGTACGCAGAAGTGTTGACAATGGGTGTGGTGATCGTATCCGTCTTCAGACGGCGTCCATATCTCTCTCCTGTTCCAAATATCACATCCATCATAGTCATTCAATCCCCCATACTCACCAGCACTTCGCAGGAATATGAAGAATGGTAAATTACAAAAAACAACCTTCATCTACCACTTTTTCAAGAAACTCCCTCAACTAATAGTTTTCTTTTATTTAATATCTCCTATTATCTTCTTCATTTATTGTTCACAAACACCCTAAAACATTCCAATTTACCCAGTTATGTGTTGGCGTCTGTGGTTAAAACTGAAATAATACAAATATATATATATAACAGCAAAACTGAACAGAATACTGAAGTGCAGTAATTTAAAATTTTTAACTCAGCTGCTGTGCGTTCGTAAAACGTTGTGCTTAAAGCATTATTTGGCCTACTCCGTTGCAAGGATCCCAATGCCAAACTGCTTCCAGGAACAGCAGTCCAGTACTCTGGTGTGCACCGACCCAGTACTGTCCTTGATCTGTAAGGAAAAGATCTCCTCGATCTATCAGGCAAAGATCTCCTCGATCTATAAGACCTTCTCGGTCTGGCACTGTTCCTACAAGCACTAACTATTCTACAATATATATCTGTATATATTGATTGTTGTTTTTAGAATGAATTTTCCTTGAGGATTTGAGGTCTATTTATAGCGTTTGGGAAAACACTATGCACTAATAAAATAATATTATTTTACTATGCATGTGGGACCCACGCCCTAAAAATTTCTTCGTTCAGCAACCCACGTTTTTCTTAAAATGTGTGGGACCAACTTACTTTTTTATTTTTCTTTCTTTGCGGCTGCCAACCTTGTGGAAAATTTTTGTTGTGGGCCCCACCACGGTGGGACCCACTTGATTAAAAAAAATATCTAACAATCCCCCATATTAAACTAGTGTCATGTAACGGTGTCGTCGTTTCAATCGTTGCACATAAGGTAGATGTCGCAAAGACTTGAATCCCCCTTAGACCAACTGAATAAAAGATAGGTGCATGGTGTCGCAGAGACTTGAACCAGCATAGACCAACTGAATAAAAGATAGGTGCATGGTGTCGCAGAGACTTGAACCAGCACATGTCTAAAAATCCAACGATCACACAAGATCAAACTCATCTGTGGTAGTTTTCACTTTGAACCACACTTGCCTTTGCCTTACTTTTGCATTTGCACATTTATGACCCTGTGCATGTCCTGATTTCTGCTAGGGCTCTAGGTATCTTTTCACAAGACACCATAGAAGACGGCTAAATCTCCATCCATGCATAGGTAAGTTCTTTAGGCATGTTTCCTATCAAACATCTCGCATCCGAAATGCTTTGAACTCATTAAGGCTTAATAACCATCCTCTCTCATGATAGGATTCTAGGTGAGTCCTTTAGGTGTGTTTCCTATCTAACACCCCGCATCCGAAATGCTTTGGACTCATTTCTAACACCCTGCATCCGAAATGCTTTGGACTCATTAAAGCTTAACAGCCATCCCCTTTACATGATAGGATTTTAGGTAAAAAAATCAAAGTTTTACTCGAATAGTTCAGCTAGGTAATGATAGTATTAGAGGTTGATCAAAGATCAATTAAGTATCTCGTTCCTTATGGAGCGCGTTACGCAACCCCTAAACCTTGCCTTAGACACCGACTAATCCAAGAAAACTTAAACCCTTTCACTTGTAAATCTTACTTGACTTTTGAACCATTTATCTTGTCATTAGTAGCATAAGCTTTGAACTAATAACTTGATGTAAATGGTAAGTATTTGTAAGACTACCAACTTTTGCAAATCTTACTTGACTTTTGAACCAATTATCTTATTATTAGTAGCATAAGCTTTGAACTAATAACATGGTAAGTATTTGTAAGACTTACAAAAATTTAAGACTCATTTCAGCAGACGTCCTTTTGACTATGTCCTTTTTTAAACCCTTAGTCAAAGGATCAACCACATTCTCTGAAGATCGGACGTCAATCACAGAAATGACTCCTTGACAAATGAGCTCTCTCAAATAGCCATGCTTCAGACGAATGGTCCGCTTCTTTCCATTGAACATCGAGTTTGCTGCCACAGCACTCGTCGTCTGATTATCACAATAGATAGTAGTTGCACCTTGTAATTCCGTCAATGGAAGGTCTCGGAGAATACAACTGAGCCACTCAGTTTCATCTCCTGCAACACAAAGTGCAAAGAACTCAGATTCCATCGATGACTGTGCAATTATTGTCTGCTTCTTAGACTTCCACGAGACGGCAGCTCCACCCATGATGAAGACAAAACCTCCAGTAGATCTGCACTCATCTGGTTCTGAGCATCAGCTCGTATCTGAATAGCCTTCGATTACACCCGGATATCCAGTGTAGAATAGGCCCAGACCTGTAGTTTCTTTTAAGTATCTCACCAATCTCTGGACAGCATCCCAATGAAGCTTTCCAGGATTACTTGTGAACCTACTAAGCATTCCTACAACGAATGCTATATCTGGCCTTGTGCAACTCATCACGTACATAAGACTTCCAATGATCTTTGAGTACCTTAGCTGCTCTACTGGTCTTTCAGTGTTCGGTCGAAGCTTCTTGTTGTAATCGTATGGCACTGATAGTTCTGGCAAGTCGTTGTAGCCATACTTTCTTAGCATGCTCTCAACATAATGCGATTGAGACAATCCAATATCCTCTTCAGAGTATATGATTTTGATTCTGAGAATCACGTCCGCAGTTTCAAGGTCTTTCATGCTGAAACCGTGCTGAAAGAAATTTCTTGGTAGATATTACAATCTCTAAATCACTCCCTATGATGAGCATATCATCCACATAGAGGCAGATGATCACCACCTTTCTTTCAATGACCTTGATATAAATGCACTTGTCAGATTCACTGACTTGATACCCATTGTTGCGAACAACGCCATCGAACTTCTCATGCCAGAGTTTTGGTGCCTGTTTAAGTCCATATAATGACTTAACAAGTTTACAAACCTTACCAGGTGAAGCATCAAGTCCTTCTGGTTTCTTCATGTAGATTTCTTCTGTGAGATCTTCATTGAGAAAGGCAGTCTTCACATCCATCTGATGTATGACGAACCTTTTAATCGCCGCCCATACGATAAGCACTCTGATGGTAGTGATCCTACAAACTGGTGCATAGATATCAAAGAAATCTATACCTTCTTTTTAAGAGAATCCTTTCGCCACTAGTATTGCTTTGTACTTTTTAATAGTACCATCAGGACGGAGCTTCTTCTTGAAGATCCACTTGTAACTAATAGGCCTTGCACCTTCAGGTACATCCACCAGATCCCAAGTATGATTTTGAATCAATGAATTCATCTCATCATCTATAGCTTCTTTCCACAGAAGAACGTCTGTTGACTGCATTGCTTCTTGAAAAGTCTGTGGATCTCCTTCCACATTATAGGTGATGAAGTTATCTCCAAAATCTTTCTGTCTTCTGACGCGCTTGGAATATGGTTCGATAACTCCTTCATCATTGACTGGACGCGCTTGGAATATGGTTCGATAACTCCTTCATCATTGACTGGCTCCTCTTGTGCATTTGATGTATTAACATTCTCTGCTATATCTTTGACCAATAAGCCTTTATGTTTGATAAACTTATCCTCAAAGAATTCTGCATCCCGAGCTTCAATGATGGAGTTGGTTCCAAGGTCTAGGAACATGTACGCATTGCTATCTCCAGCAAAACCAAGAAACACACATCTGTTTGTCTTTGGTCCAAGCTTAGGCCTTCTGATATCTGGAATTCGAACATATGCAAGACACCCCCACACTTTGAGACTATCCAAAGAATCTGGATATCCTAACTATAAATGATGAGAAGTATTATTAGTTTTGAAATACGGTACTCTGTTCAGAATCCAGTTTGCCATTAGCAAAGCCTCTTCCTAATAGCAGGTAGGTAGACCAGATATGATTAGCATCGAATTCACCATTTCGGTCAATATGCGATTCTTTCTTTCTACAATCTCATTAGATTGCCGAGAATACGGAGCAGTAGTTTCTGTAATGATTTCATGCTCCTTGAAGTATGCTTCTGATTCCTTAGATCGGTATTTTCCTCCTTTGTCGCTCCTGAGTCTTTTCATATGCAATCCAAGCTGCTTCTCCACTCGAGTCCGAAACTCGACAAATTTGCTGAAGGCTTCATATTTAGATTTCAGCAGGTAAACGTGACAGAAACGAGAATGGTCGTCAATGAAGGTGATGAAGTACTTCTTGCCGCCACGAGTGATGAAGCTCTTTAAGTCACAAGTATCTGAATGAATCAGATCTAACAGGTTGGTGCTCCTCGTGACACTTAAAAATGGCTTCCTCGTCAGCTTTGCTTACGCGCAAACTTCACACTTCTCAGGTTTGTTATGTTAGATAATTTTTTTTTAATCAAGTGGGCCCCATCGTGGTGGGGCCCACAACAAAAGTTTTCCACAATGTTGGCAGCCGCAAAGAAAGAAAAATGAAAAAGTAAGGTGGGTCCCACACATTTTAAGAAAAACGTGGGCTGCTGAACGAAAAAAAATTTAGGACGTGGGTCCCACATGCATAGTAAAATAATATTATTTTATTAGTGTATAGTATTTTCCCAAATGCTATAAATAGACCTCAAATCCTTAAGAAAAATTTATTTCAAAAACAACAATCAATATATACAGATATATATTGTAGAATAGCTAGTGCTTGTAGGAACAGTGCCTAGACCGAGAAGGTCTTATAGATAGAGGAGATCTTTGCCTGATAGATTGAGGAGATCTTTGCCTTACAGATCGAGGTGATCTTGACAGTACTGGGTCGATGCACACCAGAATACTGGACTGCTGTTCCTGAAAGCAATTTGGCATTAGAATCCTTACAACGGAGTAGGCCAAATAATGCTTTAAGCACAGCGTTTTACAAACACACAGCAGCTGAGTTAAAAATTTTAAATTACTGCACTTCAGTATTCAGTTCAGTTTTGCTGTTATATATATATCTGTATTATTTTAGTTTTAACCACAGACGCCAACATGTTACCCCGACATTTTGGAAGTAATCCTAACTTTTCCATGCTGGATAATTTTCTATAATTTACATGTCCCAACCTATTGTGTCATAACACAAAGGAGTAAGCAGAAGAGGATATTTCATTTACAACGGGGTTGGGTGCACTCGTACTGATTTTATACATGTCATCAGTACGATATGCATTGCCAAAATACATTTTCTTGAAGGATAATACAGCATTTCCTCCTTGAAAATCCAGCCTCATGCCTGCATCACACAACATGCTTTCAGAGACTAAGTTTTTGGTAATTGAGGGAACGTGTTTCACATCCTTCAATGTGAGTCTTTCCTGAAGAAAGAGTCAGCACCACAGTCCCAATTCTAAGAATAGGAACCACAAAACGATTAGCCATTGATACGTTCTCTTTGGTAGCAACATAAGAAGAGAACATATCTCTATTGGAGCATACGTGACAAGTAGCACCCGTATCTAACCACCAACTAGAGATGTTGCTTGGAGTTGTTACCTGGAAGAGCATAGCCACACAATCATCAACTTGATTGACATTGTGCGTTGTTTCCTTCTTTGGTGCTTTGCAGTCTTTGGTAAAATGTCCTTGCTTCCCACAGTTAAAGCATATGCCGCTCCTCTTGAACTCCTTCTGAACATTCAGGTTCTTCGGATTCTGATTCTTCTTTCTGTTAAAAGACTTCTTCTTCTTGAAAGATGAATTATTACTCTTTTCAGAGTTAGCAGTCACCATGTTAGCAGACGCCTTCTGCTTAGCAATGAGCTCAGTCTTCGTGCGAGTCCGAGTCTCGTCCTCGATCCAAATGAACCTCTTCAAGTCAGACAGAGTCATCTGTCTTTTCCTTCTTCGAATATCAGTGGAGAATGACATCCAAGATGGAGAAAACTTGTTGACAATTACACCAGAGATGAAGGTTTGACAAAGACTGATCTTTTCATCCTTCAGCTTCATAACAAGTTTTTTAAGCTCTTTGACTTGAGGTAAAGCCTCAGTATTATCTTTGAACTTCAAGTCCAGAAATTTGTCAATGAGGTGAGATTTGGACAACTTCTCCTCATCCTTGTACTGGTCCTCCAGAGCATTCCAGATTTTCTTTGCAGAGGGCTTATTGGTGTAAGCATCTGCTAGATGATCGGTCAGGCAATTAAGGAGATAACTCCTGCAAAAGTGATCATCTCTAGCCCAAGAGGCTTGCAGCTTCAGAGTCTTCTTCAGAGTCGGGTTTTTCCTCAGAAACCACATAGTAGATTTTCAGGAGTTGCATCCCGAAGATTACTTTCCGACGCCATGCGTTGAAGTTGGAACCGTCAAAGTTCTCTAACTTAAGACAGTCCACTCCAAGAGTCCTCACAGGATCCATGGTAGATCAAAATAATGCTTAAGATTGTTGGCGCATGTGGTTAAAACTGAAATAATACAGATATATATATAACAGCAAAACTGAACAGAATACTGAAATGCAGTAATTTAAAATTTTCAACTCAGCTGCTGTGCGTTTGTAAAACGCTGTGCTTAAAGCATTATTTGGCCTACTCCGGTGTAAGGATCCCAAAGCCAAATTGCTTCCAGGAACAGCAGTCTAGTACTCTGGTGTGTACCGACCCAGTACTGTCAAGATCTCCTCGATCTGTAAGGCAAAGATCTCCTTGATCTATCAGGCAAAGATCTCCTCGATCTATAAGACCTTCTCGGTCTAGGCACTGTTCCAACAAGCACTATCTATTCTACAATATATATCTGTATATATTGATTGTTGTTTTTAGAATGAATTTTCCTTAAGGATTTGATGTCTATTTATAGCGTTTGGAAAAAAACTAGGCACTAATAAAATAATATTATTTTACTATACATGTGAGACCCACGCCCTAAAAATTTCTTCGCTCAGCAGCCAACGTTTTTCTTAAAATGTGTGGGTCCCACCTTACTTTTTCTTTTTTTCTTTGTTTGCGGCTGCCAACTTGTGGAAAACTTTTGTTGTGGGCCCCACCACGGTGGGGCCCACTTGATTAAAAAAAATTATCTAACATTATGAACATGCGAGTTTCTTGCACTTTACACTACGGAAAAAAATTACAGTATGAATCTTTTAACTTATAAAGAGATTTAAGCAAAGAAATTATACCAGCATGAACCAAAAGGCTCGCATCCGAGCTAAACGCAGCTCCCAAACCACCGATCTGACTCTGTACACTATCTACAACCTCGCAACATACTCACATTCCACAACCTTTTGCAATTCCTCATCGGCAGACGGCGAGTTGGCCCAAGAGGCCGCGACGACCTGAGCAACTCCGATGTTGCCGCAGTTCCGGCGAGCCTTGATGCTGAGCTGGCGAACGAAATTCGGCGGGAACTTGAGGATGAGAGCTGAGGAGAGGCCGTAACCGTTCGAAAATGGCGATTTCTTGAAGGATCTAGGGTTTCCGCCGGCCGCAGAGGCGGACATTGGAGAGGAGGGGATGAAGCTAGGGTTAGGGTTTAAGAAGAGAGCCATTTTTGGGAGATTTCAAAGAGATCTTGATTCTTGAAATTTTAACAAGAAAAAAGCTTGGGGTTCGTTCAATTTCGATGGCGTCTTTATTTATAGAGGGACGAGAGGGTCATGTGCGCCCAAATGCGAGTACCAGTCAGCTGACGTGGGCTTTTCCTGAGCGGAGAGAGAGAATAGGAGTCAAACTCAAAGAGTGAGGTGAAAAAAGGGGGAAAAAATATCAGAAATCGTTTTTATAGAAAATCATGTGGAAAAGAAGATATAGTTTTATTCGTTCCATTATTGATTGTAAAGTTGATGACATCGTTGATTTTACAATTTTGCATTGGAAAATGTTGTCCACAAGTTTAAAATTGTGCAATTCTTATCGAACATGATGTTCGGTTGACATCTTCTATATTAAGGGCAAATTTTAAAATAGATATTATTAGAAATTTATTTTTAAAAAACGACCCTTTGAGATTTAATTGCTATTTTTGGCCGAGTTCCAGTCACCTGGCTGAAACTGGGTCGAAAAGGACAATTAAAGTTTGAAAACTTCACGAAATCTAAAATCCCGTGAAGTTTAGTGTCTGATCAGCGACGCTAAAATCCCGTGAAGTTTGGGTGGCTTTTTGATTACCCTCGCTAATCATACACTAAACTTCACGGGATTTTAAATCCGGTGAAATTTTCGAACTTTAATTGCCATTTTCAAACCAGTTTCAGCGAGATGGTTGAAACTAGGTTGAAAATAGCAATAAATTTCAAATAGGTTTTTTTAAAATAAATTCTTAATAGGGTTTATTTTAAAATTTTGCCCTATTAAGAATGCAGGTTTGTCACGATGGATGGATGGATGAATCAAATGTGATTCGCAAAAGTTGTACTGGTTCTAATCGGATTTGTTATTTGAGTCGGTATCCTCAACAGAATTCATGTGAGACCAACACCAAAATTAATTGAATTTTGTTCTTTAAGCAAATTGTCCTTAATATTCATTGTGAGCAAAAAAAAAGTTTGAATATGGTTTTTTCAAGACCCTTGCAATTTGAGAGGTTTTCAACGTAACATGAAATTAGTACTTTCTTTAAAAACATGTTCAAAGGTTATTTTAGTTTAATGAATATTTCAACTAGAAAATAACATGTAAAATAACATAATTTTTTGGAGAAAAATAACATAATGCAAATCTTAACAAAAAAATTTATTAAAAATTGTATTTTAGTGTATTTCTTCACATTTCACTTTTACCCTCCCATTTTCTTTTTGTTATGAGTTTTTTTTATAAACTAACTTTAAAGTAGGGTCATTCTATAGAAACTAACTTTCATTGTCAATTTAAACGTAAACCATCTTTATACAATTATTTTTCGCGAGAAACCACCTTTGATTAGCAACTTACACCTAAAGCACAATTAAATACTTTTTTTGTTGCAAGCAACTACATGGACTCACTTTTAATTCCCTTTTTTCAGTTTTGCTAAAATGATTAGTTGTTAATATCAAGTATATTAGAGATATGATCCTTAATAGATGTTAGGTAGGATCAATTTTCAAGAAAACTTAACTGATAAGTGGACTCAAGTGGTTGATTGTGACAAAAAATTATTTAAATGTGGTCTACGTGTAAATTAACAATCGAAGGTTGTTCCTATAGAATGACCATATTTTAAAAGCGGTGTTCCTATAAAATTATTTAACTGAGCAAGCCTATTGTCAATTTGTTAAAGTATATACAAGAGGAAAACAATGTTTAATACCATTTGCTTTATATAAGACAATGCTTAAGTGGATCACAATTGTGTGTGGCATTTGTCATGCCTAATCTTGTTCAATATAAATTCTTCTAAACAATGATTGGGTTTGGGAGGAAAATGTAAATCTAAGATGACTGTGGGGGCAGTCCTTATCCAGCCCTTAAGTATCTTCAAAGGTTCATTATAACAATAACAATGTCTTAATCTCATACAAATGAAGACAAAAGAGTGTTGGAAAATGAGCACATTGTATGGCATCTCAACAACTACTCAACAAGTGATGAAATACCACTTGCGTGTGGACCTCCTCTCAAATATTTATTAAGAAAAAGGTTCTATTTCTTTGTTATCTATGTTGTACAGTAAGAGGTGCACAAATTTTTAGGGTTTTTTTTGGTATAATTACCCCTTATACCTTTCATATTTGCAAAATTACCCTCAGATGTTGGTAACTCCAAAATTACTCTTGATTCTCTCGCATTGATCTTTTTCTACGCCTTTCATTTGACCATTTTTATTTTTAAACGGAAGTACGTTGCAAAAATCCTATACGCGAGTTTGGATGGTACTTTTGCAAATACCGAGATTTGAGGGGGTAATTTTACAGATATGTTTAAGGGGGTAAATATGCAAAAAAAACCCTTTTTAAAAAAGGAAGTTTGTGTTTCATGCTCCGTTAACACCTTGCAACATTTTCCCTTGAGAATATCCAATTTGTATCCAATACTTACGTGGAGAAGCGTTGGAAACAATATACTAACAAACATTCATGACATAAGCCCATCAGTGATAGCTCAACCAATAGATTCCTTTTGATTTACAAGCATTATTTGATATAGAGCAACAAAGGAAAGCATACATTCCATCAACCACCAGCTTTTACTTTGGTTCGGTTCTAAATAATCTATTATTTGCACAATTTCCTCTCCGTAGCTCATGTAATAATTCACAAAATATAGAGAACCCCTGATACAATAGGTCCCTTGGCAGGTTTCAAGGCCTCCAGGTATATTGTTCTTGGGGTCTTTTCAACCTTGTTATCTGCAAACAAGAGCCTATGTCATTCATAAACATCATCTTCCTCTTTATAATTTGCATTATGACTGCATGAAGCTGTAACTATGTTAAATATGGGTTATGCGAACATTAAGTCAGTCAACAAATATTTCACAGTACTTCACAAGTACGCAAATCTAACTTGCGCTGCAGCAGAATTAAGAGATAGGATCTCCGCGATCACGTTCATGGAATCGTCGCAACAGTTATGCTGGCACTGGTTCAGGCCTTTTACTTGTCTTTATGCCTTTTATCGCTGCAAGATCAGGGATTCATTAGTTATGGAATAAGTCTTTGATGTAAACATGCGCACTCATCCTGTACAAAGGGAACAATATTCAAAAATACTGAAGGACATGATAAGAACTGAAAAAAATCATGCCTTCTGCATAGTCTTTAGCCCCGAAGACAGCAGAACCAGCAACAAGGGCATTTGCTCCAGCTTCAATAACCTGCAATACACAATTTTAAAATTTTCTCCAACTATTGACTAAACCTAAGCACCACATTTCTGTATAAGCTAAGCTAAACGTGAAATAATCAACCCATTTTCACTCTCTTATAACTTCTCAGCTACCCCGTGCGTTAAAAAGTTATCTAGAGTTTAGAAGCATGCTAATGAGGGTAGAAGATCGACAAATGAAAAAGGAAGAAAGAACTAATATCCAGCTCTCAATATTGACAAAGGAATATGGGGAGCATGCAATTTATCCACATTAACAATATCCAAGAAACAAAATTGCAAATTAGTTACAAGAAAGTCACCTTATATGCATTTGAGGGACCAACTCCTCCATCTACCTCAATCCATGGATTTACCCCCTGCAGTAGAAAATACAGCAACAGCTTACTCTATTTTCTATAACAAAAAATGAAATACTCCGATAAGCCAGGCACTCTCTACTCCAATTTACCTTTTCGGCACATAATCTTCTCAACTCTGCTGTTTTCTTAACTTGACTCTCAATGAAGCTCTGACCACCAAAACCAGGGTTAACTGACATAATCAGGACCAAATCCACCACTGCCCAGGTAAAAAGAAAACTTTAGATGATATAAGCAGACTATAGTGATACTATGATTTCTAATGCACGCATAGTGAATAACATATATAAACGGCAATATACAAAGAAAAATATATTGCTATCAAATGCTAACTAGCAGAATACAATGCGACCAATGCATTCATTAGGCAACCAAACATTATAATTTTGTGGTGGGGTGGTGTGGGGGGAGGGGGGACCAATATAGAAGTTATGAACTATCACAACAGGATTCCACACAATAAAAGCTTCAATTCATCAAACTATTGACTGCCAGCCTAATATCACCCTTCCAGGCTTCCAGCAGTCAATCCTGGTGGCACAAGCTGGATGGAATTCAGTATTTCTAGCCTTCAAATCGACGTTGTCATTGCTTGACAAAAACTTGTTCCTTCCAACAATCAAAATTACAGTCGAAGTAGCCTTTTTCGAAACCACATTCCTGCCATTGTTTATTATTCAAGCCATACTGATTCCATGCATTATATTTCCACTTTGATTTTAAGTATTAGGCTCTGCCTTACATTCAGACAGAGTTTAACACTTCTGTATTATTAACCGATTATCAGCGATTAAACTGGCTATCAATTATTGTTCTTGAAATTTTGGTTTCTAAATATTTTTCAATATGAGATATTGCTTTTTCACATAGGAAAAATGAAATGCCCAAACAGTCTACTCTCAATTATCCTTATTGAGTTAGAGTGGCATAGCCATTCCCACATCCGATATTGTTGCAAAGGCATATAACTTTTAAAAAAATGGAGTTTACCTGTCTCCAGAAAGCGTAAACTGAAATAGGAAAAAGAAAAGGTCAATACAAATTTTCAGAGAAACCAGAGGTACAAAAACTAAATAGATAAACAGTTCTCTCAGTCATAGCCTTGTAGTGAGAAATTGTTGAAATAAATATATTCGGTATTGGCATCCAGCAAAATATTCTTACCATCAAGCACATATTCTATAGCTGATAACTGGGTTCCAGGATTTAAGACGACTCCAGCTTTTGCTCCCAAACTTTTTATCTGAGATTACAAAAGAAAGATTGTTGTAAACACGTGTCAAGAGAAACTACATAGTTAAGTATGTTTTTAAATGCTAATAAAGGAAACCAAGACTAAGAAACAGTATAATTCAGTTAATACATGGAAAGCTACACTAATGGCCTATTGATCATTGAGGTGTGATTCAAATGTGGAGTAAGAAACCATTTACAGAAGGAGATTAAGAAGAAAGATTAGTCAGGCACAGGACAGAAAAAAAGGATGTATTACATGATTTCATATGTTTAGACCCAAGACTACTATATGGGCTTTTCATTTAGAGTGACATGAATTCCATGACTTTTAACCATATTGCCATCAAATTAGATAGGTGTCTTCTTGCAATAATTTTGTTTTGAAGTGAACCTGCAGGCTCAGAATTAGCATCACGTCATCATAACATAGCAAGAATCTTCACGTATCAATTGAATAATTCCAAACTGTCAAAAATATGATCCTCTATATACATCTTACCTGATCGATTGTTCGATGCAGATGGATAGTGGCAGATTGCTCGCAGTGAACACTGACAATATCTGCACCTGCCTTGATAAAGTCTGGAACTCGCTGTTCAGGTTCTACAATCATCTGCGATGTTGTTTTTAGATTTATAATTCTGTGCAAGTTGCAGCCACGTAAAGGACACACCGAGGAACAACAGAAGACAATTGTAATACCAAATGCACGTCCAATGGCAGTTCAGTTACTGGGCGCAAGGCATCGACCACGAGAGGTCCTATGGTGATATTTGGCACAAAACGCCCATCCATCACATCAACATGAATCCAGTCACATCCTGCAACTTCAACTGCTTTCACCTAAATCAATCACAACGAAGATAAATATATATATAGAAAGAAGATGTTCATTACATATAGAGTTAGATGCAATAATTGCATGTAAATATCATATTCTTAGGTGCAGATATTTAATTGAAAGATGAAAATCCTAGTAAATTTATCAAGTGAACCTATCCTTCTTTCTTTATGAAACTTGACGAACGCGATAAACAACATGTTAAGATTTCAATCCAGTTCAAATGTTTAAGCTGTTACAAAATATGTGATTCTCTTTTGATTCTCAAGACAATAATCAATGATATTGTTAGGTTAGTGTTTAGTTAGATAAGAAAATATTGAATCTTCTAAATCATGATATGAAAATGAATTTTTACTGCAAGTATAAATTTCAAATTTCATTTACTTAAGTCTTCTGCATGCATATGAAGCATGTTTGGCAACTTTGGATTATAATCCACTTGGATTATAATCCATAATGTTTAATAAATTTAGTGGAATATAATCCATTTTCAATAGTAGTGATTGGCAAATGAGTCAATTATAATCCATCATTGTTATTAAAATGACCAAAAATGACATGCTTATAATCCACCAAAAAGTGCATGGCTTGGAATTTTGTGAAATAACGAGGGGCATGTATGTCTTTTACTTGGTCAAACCTTGTGGCTTATAATCTACTATAAAATAAGCTAGGATATCCTAGCTTAATTTTTTATGGATTATAATCCAAAAAGCTATTTGTCAGACATCTCAAAGTGGCTTGTATAAGCCACTGTGACCATTTACCAAACATGCTCATGGTGTTGTCCTCTTGGATTTTTACCTTTTCAAACAAAAAAACTTTTAAACCTCATTACTTGTAGAACTACTATAAGAAAAATATTCAAAAGCACTCTATATGTATTAAGGTTTTTTATAGATATTGGTCCCTTAGATCTTCGACAATTGCATATTAGCCCCCAAAATCTTGGAAATTGCATATTAGCCCCTCAAATCCTATCATATCTTGCAAAATTGTCCCTCAGTTAGTATTTCAGTTAAAAAACCTAATCATGGTTGAGTTAACTCTTAACCCAAAATCTGCAATCATCGAACTACCTCCCACTGATGTTTCCAACACTTTGTGAACCTAAACTTTGGGTTAGGATTTTTTGCTAATCATTGGAGAAGAAGAACTCGAGTGAATTTGGATTTATTTTAAGCATGCATTGGGTTTAGACCTATTAAAAAACGTGCTCAGGAACATCATAGAGGGCCAAAATAGTCACTTTTACCTCCAAACGTTAGATTTGGTGGAATATTCCCCCAAATCTAACGTGATTTAACTCGAAGGATCATTTTGCAAAACCCTATAGGATTTGAAGATTTAAGGGACCAATATGTAATTTTCAAGATTTGAGGAACTAATATGCAATTATTGAAGATTTAAGGAACTAATATCTAAACAACCCCATGTACTATAAAGGCAGGAGTAAATGGCGAATCCAAGCTTTGATTATTCAGGAAACTAAAGGAAGAACCTTTAGAATATGCTACGATTCCGAACTTCTGAGGAATTTATACGTGCAAGTCTACCGTTGAATCATGTCCATTGTCGAGGTACGTCGGAAATACTCAGCAGACAAAAAAAATAAAAATTACCTGCTCACCGAGCTTGGCGAAGTTCGCTGAAAGGATAGAGGGCGAGACAATGATGTCGTTCTTCGAGAATTTATCGACTCTAGATGCCTTAACAGAGAGCCTCCTCCTAATTAAAAGATAATTCAAACACGATGATCAAACAATCTAAGCACGAGAATCCACCTCAGGGTTCATGTGAACACCAAGCGCTCGATAAAAAAATCCCAAAATCGATTCGATTACAAAGTTAAAAAGGGAGAAACGGCAGAGCAGTACCTGAAGGATTGAGCTTTTCTAGGAGGAGAGAAGGAGCAGAGTTCGCGAGAGCTGAGATCGCCGCTTTGGATCGTGGAGAGGAGAGAGGAACAAGACGGAGATGTTGCCGATGAGATCATCGTCGTCTTCTTTTTGAGTTGGTTTTTTTTTTTTTTTTCTCTCCCAACGATTTTCTTTTCTTTTTCCCCTAAAAAGACCGAAAGAAAATGAGGAGAAAATTGGCTCCCTGTGGACAACACGTTCTCAACCGCAGCCTTTTGCCCCACGTTATCTCCCCGCGAAAATAGGCGGAGAGATATTCTTGGATCTTACGCTAGATTCTAAAATAAAATAACCTTTTGGATATTTTATTTGGATTTTTAGGGGATAAGAAATAAAAATTTTCATAAATAACCAGATTGTATTTGTTTTTCATTTTCTCTTTATTTATTTATTTCACCGGAGTCAAATTTCCACCGGGCAAGAATCACGTAATGTCGACATGACGTTTTTAGACAGAAATGTTTGAAATAGTTGGTCTCGTTCGTATGAGGCACATGCGAGTTTATTTAGCTTGAATAGTATTATGTAGATAGTAGTGGTTATTTTCCTTTGCTCTGAATATGCAATATACGCTAAATCTGTGCTTGGCTTGGTTCCGCCCAAATTCAGTAGTGCTTGCAATTACATTTTAAAGAACCTCAAAAATTACATTATATTAAAATGCTAATCACTGTAGAGGAGAACTATAATAGAAATTGTTAGACCAAATAGCATTATCAGCTAGAAGATACTTTTGGTAAACCAAAGACAGAAGAATAGAAAATGAACTCTGAAATCATCATGATCTCAATAGGAGTAGCACAAAGAGGATTCTGAACCATCAAGAAGCAAAAAATGATTCAGGAAGCATCAAGTTTCTCAATATAACTTCAAGCGAATTCGATAGCTAGCGCAATCCTAGGCCTTCCACCAAAATACAATCTAAAGGGCAATTATTAGATCCCACAATTTGAAGAGCTGCAGTGAAATATGTAAACTCTCAAATAGTGAAAATCTTTTTTTCTAGAAAATGCAGAATGATAGAGCCTTGTACACCACTTTCCAGGAAGTGTTTTCATCAAGCAGGGGAAGAACCCGAGCTCCCTACACCTCTGTCTCCGCTGCAGCAGTAAAAGTGTGGTAACTTCACTCGACCACATGCTCTGCAAAAACATCAAGCAACCATGTTTCATTACCCAAACTTCATAGAAAGTTCACAGCTTCAAAAGTCAAGTCGAGCTCCTCTACTGAGGGATCTTATGTTTTCAGAAAGGTTTGGTTGGGATATAATATTTTGCAGCACTTAAAACGAAGTGTTTGAAATGAGTTGGGACCTCTAACATATTTTAATGATTCACTCATGGTGACATGTGAGGTATAACGGAGGTAAGAACGTAATTGGCGAGGAGATACATGACTTCATGTACATTGTTATAGAAAACTAACGTGTGTTGCCAAACATAAGCAACACATGCATGAGAAGGTCTAGCCACAGTCGCGAGTGGCAATCACTCGCGCTGTGGCGGAATACATGTTGCTTTAGGAACATGTGTCCCCTCCACAGCGAGAGTGAAAGTCACTCGCGACTGTGGCTAGCATAGCTCACACTTGCACATTAGTTAATCAAGTGCACACTCAGACCAGTTCAAAGGATAAACTGATATAAACCAACCTGCCTCTGGCTTTATGAAAAGTTGTTCAGCTTACAGTGATTAATCTATAGTCCAATTTACATAGCTTATAACGCATCCTGTTATGATTAAACACTATTAAGATAACTTTTAGTTCATTCATTTACATTTCTGTTAGTCATATTTTTCAGTTTATATTTATAAGCTTTCTGTATTTTATAATTTACAACTAACAGTACCATGGATTACAGTTTGAAAAGAGGAAATGAAGAGAGAAAAAAGTGACTATTAATGAAATGGAGAATGCCTATTAACGAACCAAAACAATTAGATATTAGGTTGTTCATGCTCACTCGATTATCAAAACAAGCGTAAAACTTAGTGTTTTAAAGGCGATTCACCTTAGCGCCTCAGGATGAGAAGCTTGTAATTTAGCGCCTTACGTATTGCCAAGCGATAAAGGTTACTAAGGCGATCACCTTTTGGTGCCTCAAGAGCTAACATTGGCGCTCTGTGACCTTGCCTTGGCAACCTCAGGCGCTTGCCTAAGGCATGTGATGTAAGGCATGAGGTGTTTGTCTCTATTTCAAAATTTTGTAGGTCCGAAAGGTGTTAGATAAAATAAAGTATGTTTTTGTTATTGAATTTTGTGTTTCCTTTTTCATTGTGATTTTTTACTTTTTTTGGTTAAAATGTACTTTATTACCTATATCATTTTGAGGACATGCCACAATTTGAACCTTAAATTCAAAATTTGCTGCTTAATTACCTATGTTTGCAGTTACTAGTTAATATTACTATTCAATATTTATTACTTACTACTTCATTTAGATGATTTATCACTCATTAGATTTGTGACTTTGAAAATTTGGCTGTGATCTATATTGCATGGGTATGGGACATTGCAAATTTGCAAAAGATAGGGTACACGGACACAACTATATAAATATAAATATACACATTTATTATATATTGAAATTTATAATTTATATGAGACCAATGACGATAATTAAAATTCCTATAACATTTTTATGTTTTGTTTATTATGTGGATTATAAGTTGGAAAATCACTAGTTTTTTAACTAGATATCCAACGATCCTTTCAAAATCATAATTCGGATCCTGACGTAAGTCCAACGAGTTTCAAGAAGTGGGTGTGAAGTGTAGAATATATGCCCAAAAATGTATGATTAGTGTTTTAAATTAAAACATGTATTGTATATTGATTACATGCCCGAATAATATATATATGTATATATGCAATGAGCGTCCAAGGAGTTTGGGTACGTGTATGGGTACGTGTCGGGTACGGGTACGGCTTCAAATTAGAAGTACACAGGTAAGATAGACTGATTAATTTGTCCTGTTGCTATTTACTGATATTTGCACATTATTTGTAATGTTTATAAATTTTTTTGAATATCTATCGCCTTGGTTAACTTAGGCGATCGTCTTTTTTGGTGCCTCTCGTCTCAGGTCATATAAGACCTCATTGCCTTGACCTCGCTTTTTGCTTTAAAAAACAGTGCGTAAAAGTTTTCTGCTTAACTCTGCTCATTAAACCTGGGCCAAGCTCTCAGTGAGAGCAAGCCAAGCCTTCAGCTTTCTGAAGGTGTATAAAGACAACAAATCCAAGATATCAAAAGGCAAGAAGTTGCTTAATTCATAGTTTTAAGCATTATTTATTTTGAAGCTGAAGTCTTTTCACTTAGGTGAAAATATCCCAAACAATATGGCTCAAGATTTCAATAACATAAGATTCTAAGCCGCTTGTTTAGCATTAGCCGCTTGAATAACCTCTAGATTGAGCCACACCAAGCCCATTCCAATTCTATCCAAGCTTGTACTATCAAAATAAGCTTATTCTATTCCTGCTCTGCTTTGTTTAGATTGTCATCCACTACATGTAAACCTTTCTATCAAGCATTGAGCTCCCAATCCCATTAACAGGCCTAATTATTATGTAAAATTAAACAAAATAGATATACAGCTTGCAGATAGAAGAATCCATTGCACAATCAGCATCATAAAGAAGAAAAAGGATCAAATATTACGTTGCTTCAGCTATTATGGATGCTTAGCTTCTGAATTAGAGAAAAATGAATGTTCTACTTTTTGTGTTAAGCTCCAATTCATATGAAGCAATTATGGGGTTTAGTTATCAACTTCAGTCTACATGATTTGAACATACCTCAACACTACAAAAATTACAAATATCTCTTAAGCATTACATAGAATTTCCATCAACAGCCAAAGCTTTCTAGGACATTCATGCCTTTATTTTTAAATTGCTATTCCCGAGTATTAGTAAACACAGGCCTCTATAGAAAATCGAGGATAATATGCAAATAAACTAGAATCCATGGTCTACCTGTTTACGCCCTGTTTAATCTCAAATTTATCTTTTCTAACCAATACCCACGCTCTCGTTTATACATGCTAATATAAGCGAAAAATAATGCATAACATGTTGGGAAAATTGACTGACTTTCCCCCTTCATCTGTAAATAAAATAGATTAATAAGACAAATAATAAGTAAACGACCAAAAAAAATTTCAGCCAAGCACACCTAGAAAACTTCTTAACAATGAAAACTCTCTTAATTGCGAAGTTAAAATCACCGACCTAGTCAAAAAAATCTCCAATTAGAATCATATGGTTGACTACAAATTGTTCCTCTTAGACACTTGACTAAACGTACACTAGCAACAAACAGGACAGAAGAGATGACTTCTACTACTGAAGAGGAAACAAAAGAGACTAACCACTTCTTTCTTTTTCTCTTTTCTCTCTCTAATCTAATAGTCAAATACTCTATGATATGAACTTCTTTATTTTTGTTGCTCAGTGGCTTGCTCATCTTTCTGCTTCTGAATTAGAGGCTACTTATAGCCTTAGAAATTTAGTGTTAAGCAGACAGTTCACCTACCATAGCCCAACCTTTTTTTATTTTTATTTCACATGTGCAAACACTTGCACCGCCCCATGTTTTTTTTCCTTTTTTTAAAAACAATGTGAAGCAAACACTTGCTAGCATAGCCCCACCTTTTTTATTTTTTGTGTCCTCCAAAAGAGGTGGGACAAACACAACAATTCTCCCCCTCCCGACCATCTGAAGAGGTCCATTTCGGCGAGCTTTACGCAAAGGTCAAACTTGTTCCTGAGAACGGCCTTCGTCATCAAATCCTCAGGGTTCCTGTTGGTATGGATCATTTGCAGTAGCATCTGCTACTCTTCTGTTACAGCTCGTAACCAGTGGTATTTCACGTCAATATGCTTCATACGGGAATGATACATACCATTTTTGCTAAGATCAATGGCACTTTGACTGTCACAATGTACGATGTGCTTATCCTGCGTCAACCCAATTCTTGGAGAAATCTTTTCATCTACAGTATTTATTTGCTTGCTTTTGCAGCTGCGATGTACTATGCTTCTGTTGTAGAAAGAAACACACTTTTACAGTTTAGACTGCCAAGATATAGCTCCCCTACAAAAGTAAATAAATATCCAAATATAGACTTTCTATTATCGAGATCTCCTGTCATATTTGCATTTGTATAGCCTTTCAGAATTGGTTTGGAACTGCTAAATGTC